TCAAAAACAGTTTCATGGCAACAGAAGGCGGGGATGGATTTTAAAAATCCATGCGCTCAAAAGCATTCTGGCATTGAGTTCACTTTCTGATTCTTTGGGATCCAAGGAAGCGCGGGCGACGGGTGTTGCTGCAAACAGGCCGGCAAAACCAGAGGATTCGGAGGCCTCCAACAAGCCAGGGATAAGCCACGTCCTAACCCTTTTGGCCAAGTCAGGATCCAACTCAAGGATCAAAGTTGAGGATGCTCAAAGTTGAAGATCCAACTCAATTTCAGCCTGTGTTTGCCCAATGCACTCAGCCCGGTTACCCAGTTGACCCCCCCCCCCCATTTTATTGTTATATATTTTTGAAAGAATCTAAGAATTAGAAGACATAAATAGAAGATTCGGGTACAGGTAGCGAAATTCGGGCGGATAAGCAATAAAACTGAAATATTGTACAACTAATATGTTCCAATGTACCATTATGATATTATACGAAATTTCAGATCGAATCTCTAATCAAAACCCATGGGTCTGTTGAATTTTACACTAAAAGAGCTGGGTTAACTCAGTTCAGGTTGCAAAAAAGAAAAGATAGTAAACAATACATTAAATCTGTACAGCAAATTATACATCAGATGAAGATATGAACTCTAAAATTCAAATTTTGGGTATGGTACAATTCGAAATATAAGATTGCAGTCCAAGAGTGGGTTCCAATTAAAATCAAATTCTGGGTCAGATTTCCTTTTTAAATACCAAGTTGTTCTAGACATCATTGTCACAGTTCAAGGAACCATAAACTATTCACATTGTTTATTAAAGCTAATAAACCAGGATTAAAAGCTTTGAATTCTGGGCAAATGCATCCATGAGAACTTTCACTGCCCTGCATTAGTGTGTTGTGTGAATATCCCACAACTGGATTTCCTTTCAAACTTGTTTGTCCACTCCAGCATTGACAAGATAACCATTATCCCAAAAACAAAATACTTCCTAAACGTATGGCACTTAGATATCTCTGTGTGTACAATGACGCTTTTTGGAAAATGGTTAGTTTTATAATTACAATTTGTTGGCCTTGAGTTGCTAGAGGACCCCACTCTGGTCTCCTGAGAGATTAGGAAAAATGGCACATGATTAGTGGGGCTGTTGTTTCGTTTTTCTCTCCGAGCTCTTTGGAATGGTGGCTTGAAATCCCCTTCCTGAAGCTAGATCTTTCCAAATATTGGGGGGCGAATCCCTCTTCACCCCGATCCATCAGCTCTGTCATTTGGGGCTGATCAGAACTGTAGACGTGGGGAGATTAGCCATGATTGCATTTTGAATGGATTTCCCTAATCCTTGTCAGATGCATAAAAGCAAGAAAACTAGTTTTCTGTTGGAGTTGGGCAGCTAATAAATTCAGATAGATAGATAGATAGATAGATAGATAGATAGATAGATAGATAGATAGATAGATAGATAGATAGATA